GGCCCTGCCTGCCTGCTGGCTGTTGCCCGGTGCCCTTTCAGGACCCAGACCCCAGCACCCTCTAAACCCGAGGATCCCCTGGCAGAGTCCCCCCATCCCTGGGCTCTGGGTCCTGTCCCTGGGTATCTCCTCCTTGCCTTTGATCTCCAGAGCCCAAGGGACCTCTGTGTTTTGGTTCTCTTTGCAGAGCTGGGCACAGAACCCAGGGCCTTGGCTCCCAGTGTCAGACCAGCTCCCCACCACCCAGCCAGCACCCTGCCCTTATATTGCATTACCCAGGGTGGCCTGGAGCGCACCACCCTGTTTCAGCCCTGCAGACCTCTGGATTAGAAGCACATGCCCTGTTCCAGCACCGCCCCCTACATGCACCTTCCACCTGGGGCCCAGGCAGGTGTGAGAACTCCATTTTACATATTTCCATGTCCCCTTTGTCTCCCCAGAGATTGTATCGTCTGAAAAATTCATTTGGAGGCCCCCCCAAGCCCTCCTGCCCATGCAACAACCCCACAATTTGGGTAGGCGCATCCTGGTCCACATACTTTCTTATATGCCCATCCTGCAAACGTGACCACACCTGGAAAATTCGGCCTGAGGCCCCTGGGAAATTCCAGGGCTATGCCCAGGACAGTTCCTGGCCCCAAGATGAAGCGGAACTAGAAGAAGTCATGAGGAGACTCTCCACTGCTGCACCTGAGCATCATGACCTTGGAGACACAGATGAATCAGGTCCAGGAGATTTCTGAGTGGATGGGGGTCCTGCACCTGCCCCATTCCACAGGTCCTCTCTCTGGCTACTATTCATCAGCTGTTATGAGTCACCTGGGAGTGTCTGGGTCTCCAGTCTAGGAGTCCAGTGGGTGTTCCTGGGTGCATTTCCTTCCCTTCCTTCTCCTTTGATTGCAAAGTAGTAAAACTTTTTTTCTCAAAACTGGGTCCTCATTATTAGATTGGCATTGGAGACAAAGACTAAACTCTCAGTAATATAAGCACTGAGTGAAGGCCCTTGCATATATTTTTCTTTTTTTTCCTTTTTTGGTAAATAGGAGTGATAGTGCTGCTTATTGCAAAAGGTTTCTGAAGGTTTTCAATGAGGTCATCCACAGTATGGCTGGGCTGACACCTGCCTTGCAGAGAAGTGCAGGCCCTGGTTCTCCATGGGAGGACTTTGACTGGAAGTAGGTTTTCCATGATCCAGATAATGATCTCTAAATCAGTTGTTATGAAGGCCTGTTTGGGCTGGGGTGTGGCTAGAGCATTTGCCTAGTGTGTGCAGGGCCCTGGGTTTGATCCTCAGCACCACATAAAAACAACTAAAAAATAATATATTTTTTAAAAAGGTCTCTGCTAGGGGTCTGAAAGAGGCATTTTCATGAGGTTTATGAAATTCAAACTATTTCCTGGGTTGCAGTAGAGATTTCCTGGGGCTCTGTGATGTGTGATGACAAGATCTCTTGGGGCTGATAAGCTGTGTGCTTGTGTAATCTGTTTAAGTTTTCCTCAGTTTTAATTATAACTCCTATCAACACTAGGTGCTTGGGAGCTGTGTTAGTCAAGGATCTTCTGGGAGATGGAAATAGAAAAAATAGAAAATATAATAGAAAAACCTACATATAGGTGTAGCTGTGTGGGGAGGGTTTACAAAGGGAATTGACATTCTAATTAGGAGGATTCCCACATAGACTTTCTGCAGGCTGGAGACCTGGGATTATGATAGAGGGGCCCAGTCAAAGTCTAAAGGCCCCAGATGGCAATGGTGGAACTCTCAGTCCAGGTGCAATGTCTCAGGGCTGAGGAAGTAGTTCAGTGGTGGAGTGCCTGCCTAGTGTGCATGGAGCCCTGGGTTCAATCATTTGAGAAACAGAAAATGGTGGTTCATTTTCACAGTACAGTGTTCAGCCTTCCTTGGGTCCAACTGTGACCATTTAAATAATAGCCCATCCCAATATTTAAAGTAGCCAATCATGTCTTTTGTACTTCTGAGCCCCTCCAATTGGGGCTAAGAGCAGCCCTGCATTGGGGTATGAGCAGGAGGACTGCCTGCCCAGGCTTACTTGCCATCCAGGTTCTGGTAGCGCCCCCTTCTGGCAATGTAAAATTTGCTTTGCCCTTCCATTTAAAAAAAAATTTATTTGGTGCTGAGGATCTAAGCAAGGCAAGTGCTCCACCACTGAACTACAACCTCGGCCCTACCCACCCTCTTTTGAGTACATGTTTGATTTCTTGTGGCACCTGAATATTGGTAAAACTCCCCAGTACTGGGGGTAGTGTGGGGAGTGTCTCAAGTACCAGGTGCAAAGTTCTTATGTGCATTAAAACTCAGGGTATAATCTCTGTCCAAGACCAAGTCCTGAGAAGCTGGACAGCTGCTGGCACAAGTCCTGAGTCTTGAGGGTAGATGTGGAGTTCTGAGTTCCAAGGGCAGGAGGAGGGCATCAGCTCCAGGGGAGATTGCAAATACATGTTTCCTCTACTTTTTTGTTTTCCTTTGCCCTCAGCTGGTCCCTAGCCACACTGAGGGCAGGTCTTCCTCCCTTGGTCCACAGTTCAAATGCCACAAACATCACACAGCTATTCCAGAAGTAGTGTTTGCCAGCCACGTGTGTACCCTTAGAGGGAGCAAACTGA